GGTGAGTTCAGAGCCAGCTTCGAAAGGGGCAGCAAGTGACGCCATCTTGGGATGTCTCACCTCCCCTGGCTTGTCTTCATTATAAACTCTCTCAGGCCTCAGTGGCTTCTTTCCAATGACTTTGAGAACCCAAAGTAGCTTGAAATTGATAAGGATGAGACCAGGCACCACTCAATCCAGGAAGAATTCTCACGAAAGAACTTAAATCTGTTGGAAAAACCCACTAAGAGAAAAATGAAAACACAGACTATCCCTTCCTTACACACCCACGAATTTCACTGCTGTTAAATTCTCTCAAATTCGGTCACTTTTTCCTATGTTAACCCTTTGCACTCCAAATGAGAAGGGATCTCAAGATTTCACCAATGCAATTAGATTTCACACGCCCAAAGTTACCAAAATGATGAGCATTTAAAAAAAAAATGTTTCTCAAACTCCCAGAGAGAAAATGAAAATTACGATAAAAATATAAAATGACTCTCAAGCTAAACATGTTCAGACCAACATAAGATACTAAGAAAGGTAAGGGGCCTGGAAAGGGTGAGTGCCTCCTCTGAAAATGTGGGAGGGCTAAAGCTGATGTGCCAACACCTTTAACAATGGCTGAGAAAAGAGTCCTTTTGGAGCCAGGAAGAAGGCACGTAGGCTCCTGAACAATCTCCCTGCCTGTGTCTCTGAGTGTTCCACACAATACAGATTCCCCTCTGGTACCAATGGACGTCCTTCTAAGTCACTTTCTGAATCCACTGGCACCAGTGCTGTCAAGATGACTCATGAGCAATGTTATATTACCATACAGTCATGTTACATTACAAACATCAACCCATTTGGATATGCAGGTGCTCAAGGGAAAGGATACATATTCTGCCACTATATTCAATAGAAAAGAAAACGGAAAGAGAGATTACTCTTTGTACAGAAGCTGAAAGAAGCCTTAATGATTCATCTAATGTAATCTTCTTCAATTAAGAAAGATTACTTTGGGCTAGAGAGATGACTCAACAGCTAACAGCACTAGCTGCTCTTGCAGAGGACCCAGGTTCAATTCCCAGAACCCACGTGGAGGTTAACAACCATCTGAAACTCCGGTTCCAGGGGAATCTGATGCCCCCTTCTGACCTCCATGTGGATTGCACAACATGGGTGCACTTACACACATGCAGGCAATACAGTCATACACATAAATTTAAAAATAATAAAATATTTTTAGCCAGGCGTGGTGGTGCACGCCTTTAATCCCAGCACTCAGGAGGCAGAGGCAGGCGGATCTCTGTGAACTCAAAGCCAGCCTGGTCTACATAGTGAGTTCCAGGACAGCTGGGGCTACAGGGAGACCCTGTCTCAAAAAGACCAAAAAAAAAAATTTTTTTTAAGAAATATTAGCATTAAACCATTTAAACTAATTAAAAATCCTCCCTCTTCAGAATTAACTATTGGAGAAAAAGTTATTAACTGTCCCTAAAGTTTTAGAAAATGTAAATAAATGTAAAATAAAATAAAGAAGACTCATGGTGACCAGTGGTCAAACAGGCAAAGCCATATGTACATGAAAACTGTTCCATTAAATCATAAAGGACAGAATATGAACACCATGCTTTACAGATCTCAGAGGATGGTCTATAATCCATAAGTCACCTATTGTAAATTTAATTTTTTTTTTTTTTGGTCATTTTGAGACCCCACAACTCCTTTGAACCTATGTGCAATATATTTCTGCTCTAAGAAACCATCAATATATGTTTGTCTCTATAAATTTACTTTTTCTGAACACTTCACATGGATAGATTAAATATTAAATATTCTCTAGTGATTGGGTTTTTACTTAGCAAAATGTTTCTAAGATTCATCTATATCATAGCAATGTTTGAATAGCTCAGTTCTTGTTACTGTTGATAGTACTCCACTATTACCTTATTTATCCATTCACTAATAAATTTGTATTAAGATTATTTCCACCTTGAGGCTTTACTAGTAATGCTACTATAAATATCTTTGTACAAGGTCTTTGGTGGGTATATATTTTAATTTCTTGAATGGTTTCTTAGGAATAGAAGTACTGGGTGGTAATCTGTTTGCCTTTTAAGAAAGCACCAAGCTATTTTCCAAAGTGTCTGAATAGATTATAAATGTCTACCAGCAATTCATAAGGATTCTAGTTTTGTTGCATACTCGAGTACCTTCAGTCTAGTCGTATCTTTGGTCTAAGGTGTGTATCTTTTAGACAGTATGTAATTGGGTCTTGCATTTGTAAATCCAACCTGATAAACTCTGTCTTTTGAGTAAAATATTTAGCTTGTTCCCATTTAATATAATTATTGATATGGCTACTGATCTCTCAGTCTTTATTTATTTGGGAATGCATTTATTTCTCTTGTCATAGTTGAAGGACAGTTTTGCTATATACTAAGTTTCTGGTTTATATATTTTTCCCCTTCAGCATGCTGAGTGCGTTTTCCTTTTATTACCTCTGGTCACTAGGGCTTTTTTTTTTAATGAGAAATTAGTTATTAATTGCATTTATTTTCCTCCATGTATGCTGAATCCTTTTTTTTAAAATTGATGCTTTTTAAGATTTTTCTCTTTGTCGTTTAATGGTTTGATTATAGTTTGTTTAGGTAAGGTTTTGTTTTTGTTTGTTCTTAGAGCTTATTAAACTTTAATGTTTTTAATCAAATTTGGGAATTTTACCCATTACTTGTTCCAATGTTTTTCTATCCCTGGCTCCTCCTCATCTGGAACTGTTTTTACACACATTGACATGTTTGATGTCCCACAGATATCTAAGGCTCGGCTCACATTATATTAAATAACATATTATGTAGCTGTATATTAAATAATACCTTTATCTCTATTTTGTGCGGCTTCTGCCATCTCACATCTGTTCTTGGTCCCGCTACAGAACTCTCATTTCAGTTATACTTTCAACTCTACAATTTCTATTTGGTTCTTCAAAAAAAATTCTCTTTCTACTGAGATTTAGCATTCATCAACTCTTTCCTCTAATTCTTTAAACGTTGTTGCTGTTCACCCCTGGACATTCTGAAACAGATGCTTTGCAGTCTTGGGGGCTAACTCCAGTGTCACAGGCAACTCCATGAACTTCTCTTTTCCTGTACATAAACCACATTTTGCTCCTCCAAATGTCTATAATTTTTGGTTAAATACTTGAATTTTTAGATAAATACTGGGATGTGGTAGCAACTCTGGCTTTTGACTTACCCTCAAATAGTTATTACTATTGTTGTTTTGCTTATTTAAATCATTTTCCCAGACCAAAAATTAAAATACGGCTCCCATATAGGATACAGTTGCTGATGTCTTTGCTAATTTTCTTCGTGTTCTTATTTTAAAGTCTGATTTCTAGATATCGTCTTCCTTTATGTGAACCTTAATGTCCTGGAAAGACTAGTCAGAGGTTTTGCTGAGACACTACAGGCCAGAAACTTTGTCTCTGCCTCTGTGTGGTCAGGGGAGTATACTCAAACCTCAGGCAGTTTTCATGTCTGCCTTACATTGTCTTTCTGTGGGTTCTTTCACAGATCCTTTGTGTGTACACACAGGCTCAACTGGCCAGGGATGTGTGGGTGTTTGGGGCCTGCTCCATCTCTGAAGCTCATGTACACAAAGATCAGTGTGCAATATATGGAGAGTCACAGAGCCCATGACAGGCTCTCTGACCTCCCAAAACTACTTATTAAGTCATCAGCAAGACCACTGGTCCATCGCTTTATCCAAAGAGGGCTATAAACTCAAGCTAGTAGACTAGCCTCTCCTGCTCACTTACAACCAAAATGGTCCTTGAAATGGTGATGCCCCAAAGAGAGGGAGCCCCTTCTGGAAGCAGCAAGGCTACTGGTTTTCACAGCTCCCCCAGTCCCCTGCTCTGGCTGACACATCACACTGACAGAGCTGCGAGAAGGGAACGGGGAGACCACAGGTGAGAACATCACTAATTCATTCTGTTCCTATCAGGAACAAAGGCTTCCAGGTTTACTGTATGCCTCTAGTCAATTTTTACATCATGGAAATGAAGACTTCGGACAGCCTTTTCCCAGCTTACTGCTTGTTTTGGAGAGGAGAGTCTGTCAGCATCTTAGTGTCCTGGGAAGATCAGTCACCCTGTCATGCTGAAAGTCAGTATCTCAACTGATCTTTACATCCTTTTAGAATTGATACTGCTAAAAAGTCAACCGTGCTGGTGGCAACACCACTGTGAAATCTCATTTTCCAGGGAAACCGAAGCGACTGGAAAAATACAGATGACTGAAGGCACGACTTTCAATAATCATTTCATTAGCTCAAATTAATTAAGAACTCTCACTCCTTGGAAGCAGGTCCAGGCCCCGGGACTTAACCCTTTCATAGGCATGAGAGAAATGAAAGGCACCAGGAGAAAAGAACTCATCTTAATGCATTCCAATCGATGGTACCTCCCACGGCCACCTTTCTGCTCCTGACACTTCACAACTCGCCCACCTCTATCTCTTGTGTTTCAGAGATGGTCACTCGGATACACGAAGGCTATTCATGGAATAATCCTCTGTTTTCAAAGGAAAGTTTTCATCAAAGTCTCCCCATCTAGCCATTTTTCAGTTCTCCTTTATCATCTCATCGAACAGGCTGACTCCTGTTGGGAAAGTCACTTGTGCTCTGGACATCCTCAGAGTACCCAGGAAGGACAGACAACCTCCAAGTGCATCTTAGAGTCTAGTCTCTTAGGGTTTGAGAGGATGTGGAGAATTTTTGACAAAAATCTATCATTTTTCAGAGGGGTATATTAGGTTCAGGGAAATGAAGGTGCCTTCTAGGAATGGGATGAAGATTAAGACTATCATGCTAATGAACTAAGTGGAAGGCCTCAGAAATTCTCTCCTGACTCACTCAGGGCAGGTGATTAGAAATGATTTCCTGAATGCCAGACTTTACATAACCCAGGCTGAGAACAATAGCCACACCAGCTCCTGAGGTAGACTTCCCCATGTCTGCATCCTCTCTCTTACCTTAGCAAAGAAAATCCAGGCTGCACACTGCCCTGGGGCCAGTAGGCCTTTCAGCTTTTCTGTACTGAGCATGAGAAAGAATCCTAAAACTCCGCTGAAAGGAGAAAATATTCTTTGGTTAGTGAGGCTGCCTTTGTTCAGTCACAGCTGCTTGGCCACTGTACCACTTTACTAGTCGATTCCTCCTCACACACCCCTCCCGCTTCTTGACATAGGATCTAACTGTATAGCCCATGCTGGCCTGGAACTCTCAATCTACCCGCCTCAGCCTTCCAGGAGCTGGGATTACAGGTATGTACCATCATACCCAGTTCACCAGTCAATAGCTAAGCATTATACAATGTCAATCACATTTATGTTATCTAGTATCTCTAAAATAAAAACAACTTAGCAACCCTGAGTCTCTACTTTCCCAAGAAGTGATGATGAAAGTGTTTCATTGTAAGTAGGAGAGGCACAGAAATTGGAGAGGATTCTGGTGACATCATGAAAGAAAGAAATGCAATCGGACACTTCTGGTTTGTATGTCAACTGACCCCCTGTAGAGGTTTGAATGAATGTCCCCACAGGCTCCAAGTATTTGAAAACTCTGTCCCCAGTTGGTGGCACTGTTTTGGAAGTTTTAGGAGGTGTGGCCTTGCTGGAGGAAGCTTGTCACTGGGTGTGAGTTTTGACCATTCACGGTTCACGCATCCTTGTTCCCAGTTCCAGTTTCTCTCTCTGCTTCCTGTGCCTGCTTGAAGATGTGAGCACTCGGCTTTCTGCTCTAGCTGCCTCTGCCACCGTGCCTCCCTGCCAAGATGGACTCATTCTTTGGAACTGTAAACTAAACTCTTCCTTCTATAAATTGCCTTGGTCATGGTATTTTATCACAGCAGCATAAAAGTAACTGAAACATTCCCCAAAGCTCAGGTGTTGAAGACTGGTTCCAGGTGTAAACAGTGTTCAGGGTAGGGGTGTGGGAGGTGCTTTGGGGAAATGAGTACATGAGGTCTCTGGCTTTGTGGATGGATATATCCACTGATGGAGTCATAATTTGAGGTTTTCCTTAGAGTTAATGGAAACATCGGGAAGTGGAACCTGGTTAGAAAAAATAGGTCCCTAAGGGCATGCCTTTGAAGGATGTATCTTGCCCCCAGCCCTTTCCCATCTGCCTTACTTCACTACTTCCTGGATGTTATAAAGTGAACAACCTTTATCACAGTCCGGCTGCCATGATATTCTGCCTCTCTGACTCAAGTAATTAAAGTCAGTCAACCTTGAGCAGAAACCTCCGAGACCAGGAGCCAAAAGAGACCCTTTGTCGTGTAAATTGTTTCTTTAGGTACCTGTCATAGGAACAAAAGTCTAATGCAGTCATCAAGGAGACAGAGTGGGATGGTCCAGGTATCCATGTCTGTGAGGGCAGGGGTGGGGAATGAAGCTTCCACCCGTGCATTCAAGACCTAACATCACAGGTACATCCAGTCTCCCACACCTCCTTGCCCCTTTGCTCTTTCCCTTTTCTCTCCAGGCAGAGGAAAGGCATGGCTTCACCCAACCTGTTCCCTCAGCACAGACTTGGCTAGGATGAGCTAGTCCTGGGTGGCAACTGGCATGTTCAGGGAAACATCCAGTACTTCTTCCCTGTGCCTGGCTTGTTAGTTTGTGAATAATTTCTACCCTACTATGGCTACCTTATCTTCCTCTTCCTTTCAACTTTTCTACCACTTGCTATAGGGTAGATCTGAAAAGCATGGAGAGGATCCCTGAAGTAAAGGATCCTGGGAGCGATCTCCAGGGACCTCTAGGTCATGGCTATCTCCCTGACTTCAGTCTCCTTGATCCCTTGATCCCTGAACTTCTTCAGGACCTCCTGAAGGTGACATCTCCTAGTCTGAATATGGCCACAGGGAAGCACTGACATGATGTGGGGAAATTGAACACATCTTTAGAAAAGGTCAGTTCTGTACTAAAGTCAAAGGAGGTAAAATGCAACAGTTAAGACAAGACAAGCAAAGATCTCCAGCTCTTAAAAATAAAAAGCTGCAGACTACAGAGGGACAGGAACAGGGCTAGAGTATGACCCCACAAAGCCAACACTGGTGAGCTCTGAATGTGTTGCTCTATTGCAAATAAACAAGTATTGACCGCCCCCCAGAGCCTGCTTGTCCATGCTGCCAGACAACCACACAAAGGGAAAGCAATCCGAGGGGCTCAGGCAACTGAAGACATTGAAGTCCCAGCTGTGAGCAAGTGCACAGGCCCAATCAAACTGGCAGGAACTGGGAGAAGGCCCCGTTATTGCTTTCCTGAAACTTTTCTGAGGATGATAAATAAAACTCTGAGGCTCAGATGCAGAAACAAAGTTTCTAATGTTGATTCTTTTTACCCCGTTGCCTTGATAGCCCAGAAGAGCCATAACTCCTTCAGAAACAGTATTTAGCTATATTTCAGCCTTTTACCTCACTGTAAAGACTGCTCCACAAGGCATCATTTTATGTGTGGGAATGGGTGGTTTGGCTTTTACTCATGGTTGAGATTTTTCTTATACTTGACCTGAGCAGATACTAATAATGGCCACAACATTTATTGGGCCAGCCACAATTCTTAGGAATTTATACATATTGTGATACATGCAATAACCCTATATTGGCATTATTTTTCTATCTTATAGATGAGAAAACTAAAACTTGGGAGAACTTGTTTAATCTGCTGGCAATCCTGGGGTTCACCCAAGTCTGTTCTTTCCATCATGGCAGAACACGAGCTTGAGACTGTCTCTAGAGCCTTCCCACCTCTCACCAATGAAGACTGTGGTTGGGATCGGTGGACAGGGTAGGCATGAAGCTCTGTATATCCGTAGGTACGCATGTGATTGTTCTCCATCCCTGAGTCCTCCCAAGGCCAGATACGACTGATCTTGCTAACTAGACATTTCCCTCCTAATTTCTGATTTCTACCATGTACTTCTGAGTCTTGGGGTTCAATAGAGGTTTTCACAGGTTGCAGGAGCGAGAGGGATGACGAGGTGGAAGAGCAAGAGGTGGAAGCTGGGAGGACCCAAATCTCCCATTGTACTGAATCAGTTTCATATACTGAAGTTCTCTGTGATATTTGGTTGTGCAGCGAAAAAGGCAAGGGGATCCCAGCAAGCTTGAAAACCACAGTCCTGGCTGAGGCATGCCTACAGGCCAGGCTCCTATAGGACCATGCTGGTGCTGAACACCTGTGGGTGCTCAGTAATGACCTACTTGGGGACAGACTGAGCTACTTCCCAAATGTCCCTACCATTTGCTTCTGCAACTCATTTAGCTTACTACAGTGACCGTGGGCTGCACAGAGACAGTCAGCTAACAGCACAGAAAACATGCAACTTAGCTCAATTACCTGGCGAGGCAGCTGCCATGGAATCTGTAGAGATACAGGAATGGAAAGTCCAGGGCACTGAAGAGGTCACCTGAGGAGCACAGCAATGGTGACACAACAGTCCACTGCTCCCCTCATGTCCCTCCACCCAGTCACTTAGAGAAGATAAAGGGCCTTCTGCACAGTGCGTTCAGCCCTGCAGCTCTCATATTCCCAGGACTTAACTATTTCTTTCTACTAAGAATAAAGCATGGGGACTGGAGGGTTGGCTCAGCAGTTAAGAGCATTGCCTATTCTTGCAGAAGACCCGGGTTCAGTTCCCAGCACCCACATGACAGCTAATAACCATCCATAACTCCAGTTCCAGGGTATCCAATGCCCTGTTCTGACCTCCATGGGCATTGCATGACATGGGTGCACTTACATACATGCAAGCAAAACACTCATGCACATGAAAGTAATAAAATATTTCTTAAAGGACAAAGCAACAATCTTGATCATTTAGAGACAGCATGCCTTGTACACAGCCCTATATGAAATGTGCTTGTTTTCATCTCTGTTAATCCTCATAGCAACTCTGAGAGATCTATTATCCCCACTTTAACTGGAGCCCAGTGAAAAGCTGCACGTAAAATTGTGTAATTGTTGAACTGTGTAGCTAGAATGTGCACCGGGTCAACCAAGACCGTAAGATCCTTCTCTTCACCAAGCAGCCATCCCACACAAGGGAGAGTATAAGAGGAAAAGTCTTTTTTTAAAGATTCTTTTCTTTTTTGGCTTTATGTCTAAAAAAAGACCATGAATGCATTTCCCTGACATCTTTTTTCATTTTGGTCTTTAATTACTGCACAAGCAGCACAGGGGACAGCACGACTATGCATACTCATTTTCGTAGAAGGCCCAAAGGGTACATTTATTTCTCGTGAAGTAAGTTCATTCTTTTAGTTCCACTTACAAGAGGAAATAATCACACATACTGGCTGCTTCTCTCTCTGGAATTTGAACTTGGTCACAAACAAGAAGTCAGGAGATTAAAAAAGCAGAAAGCCTTCCAAAAATGTCTCAAGAAAAGGAATTAAGCATTTCCACAGCAGATAACTTAATCCTTCCAAATCTGGAATTTCTGACACTCTGCAGGAGCCTGGTTCTCCAGAGCCCTGGGCTTTAGTGTGTATCTCAGTTACAGGCAGCCTGGAAGGGCTGGGATGACTTTGTTAAGTACTCACTGTTTAAGAGGTATGCAGTGAAACGTGAGCAACTACTTCCTTCACCACTCGTATTATGGATCAAGCACTGCAGGCTAGGGATGCAGCTTAGTAGTAGAGGCTTGCCTAGTATATGGAACCCTAGGTTCCATCCCTAGGCACGTGAGAGCACAAACACACACACACAGAGAAAGAGAGAGAGAGAGAGAGAGAGACAGAGAGACAGAGACAGAGTGAGAGACAGAGAGACAGAGACAGAGAGACAGAGAGAGACAGAGACAGAGAGAATTTCAGAACAACAGACTTAAAAAGCTCTGTACATCTGTGAAGTCCCTAAGTGATCTCAAATGATTCAACCATCTATTAGAAAGTTCTGAGTTCTATCTCTCTGACAGTTTGATTTTAACTGTGATTATAAGCTTTGCTTGTGTACCTGAGTGTCTAACTAAAAGGGATTCTTGGGATTTGGTTTCCATGCAGCCTACCACGAGGTCAAGAGTTCTTGTTGTTTTGGGGTTACTAGTCCACTGACTGCCTCTACCTTCCAATTGGAACCTGTGTTGATAAGAAGGACCTTGTTAAACTCATCACCCGTCTCAGACCTCTATTGTATAATGTTCATAGTGTATTGTAAGGTCTCTTTCCCCACAGAAGTGATAGCCAAGATAACCCTGGGATTGCAAACCGCAAGAGAGGCCAGAGCCTCTCACTCAGGCATATGGAAGGGACATCCTCAGAGTATTTGTTCTGTCTCTTTGGCAGCTGCTGGCTCTTGGCCTTTGCCCAATTTCCCTCCCAGTGTGAGAGGAACTGCAGCCTGGTCAGCAAGATCATGAGGATTGGCAGGGAGGGCTATCTGTCAAATCCAAGACCTTGAGACCCCTCAGCTGTGCCTATTCTAGGCACCCCATCTTTTATCACAAATGCTTCAGGCAGTAAGCTGGATTTGTAGGTGCAATGCTAATATTTATATCCTAGCCCAGACTTCGGATGAGGTCTAAAGGACACAGAAGTGGTTGGGGTAGATTGGGAGGGAGAAAAGAAGAAATCATAGTCCTAAGGAACTTGTCAGATGATAACCCTCACCCAGATCCCAAAACTGATTCCGTAAGTTACAGGGAGAAAGAAGGAGGGAATGAGAGGAGGAAAGGACGAAGGATACAAGAACAGCCTGTCTTTATCCTTAAGTCATTTCCAAAACCTTCAACACATTTCTCACCAGCACCTACCTGACTATAACACCTCACCTGGCTAACCCCCTAGAATTGAAGACTCTTAAGAACAGGGATTTCATCTTACACACCCCGGTCTCCACTGTAAGTTAGCACCACACAGACAGCCTAGCAAGCACTACTGAAAGACAGATATCTGAAAGACCTGGAAGTTTCCTGATTGACCTGGAATGTTCTAGAGTTTCCAGTTGACTATGTGGTCTTCAATTTTCAGTTGGCTCCAAATGCTTTCTTTTTGATGCATTCAATCTGCCTCTCTTTAAACAGAGAAGGATGCCTAGTTCCCCTTAAGCAGCAAAGGTTGGTGACTTTGCCATAAATAACCCAGGAGAGCTCAATCCAGGGACCTAAAGAATATGTGAAGATGTGGGGACTAAGGAGATGGCTCAGTGGTTAAGAGCACTTGTTGCTCTTGCAGAGGACCTAAACCCAATTCCCAGCACCCACAATCAGGTAGTTCACAGCCGCCTAAACTCCAGCTTCAAAGGATCAGACACCTTCTTCTGGCCTCCACTGGCATCTACACACATATGGTGCACATATATACACTCAGACCCACACACATATATAAAATAAGAAAATAAATCTGAGAAAAAATATGAAGTTTTTCACAAAATAACACTCTTGTGCTACTTTGTGCTGAGCTGCACAGTGTGAGAACCAAGTAGGTGGTTATGGGCTTGAGTCACTGATGGTGGCAGCAACTCGAGGCTTCTGCCATCAAGTCTGAGTGAGCCTTCGTGGCTAGGTTCCAGTTCAAACTCTGCCAACCAGAGGGAGTGAACTCCACTTCTCTGAAGAATACAGAAAGCAAAATCACCACAGTGAAAAGTGGCATGGTCTAGTGCCTGGGGAGGTCATTGTGCCTATGTGAGGTCAAGCAGCAACAGTGCCCACCCCAGGTGCCAAGGTCATTGCTGGCTCATGTTCCTGCAGATCTCCCTGGTCCTCTGGTTCCTTGAAAGCCTCTTTCTTGAATACAAGGGCAGAGGAGCCCATAAGAATACAAAGTGCAAACTTAAAAGTTGGGAAGAATTTCTCCTCTCTACTAGCTGTCCAAATAGCTTAAAGAAAAAAGAATTAAGGGTCTTCTCAATCAAGATTCCAAGGCAAATGGAACTCTAAGTTCAAGGCTAGCCTGTTCTTCATCTGAGGTCCAGGCCAGCCAGGGCTATATGGTGTGACCCTGTCTCAAAACCAAGAGCAAACAAAGGAACTTGGACAGGTTCTTAGCACTTGGGTTTTGTAAGATTTACTACTCCAGTCAAGATTGTTTCACTACCCAACAGACCTCACTCACAAAGGGATGTTTGGGAAAACTCCACAGCTGCCAAGGTTTGAAGTCTGTGGAGTCTTCTGACAGGACAAAGCAGCAGCAGATGCATCTGTTCTCAAAGCACCTGACACACAATTTGTAAAAGTTCTAAGAAAGTCATAAGGGGCTGAAGAGATGGCTCAGCGATTAAGAGCATTGGCTGCTCTTACAGAGAGGACCCAGCTTTGGTTCCCAGCACCCCCATGGTGGCTAACAACTGTCCATAACTCCAATTCCAGGGGAATCTGATGCCCTCTTCTGACCTTCATGGGCATTGCACAACTCAGGTGCACTTACATACATGCAGTCAATATCCTCATACACATAAAATAAAAATAATATTTTTAGAAAAAGAAAGTGACAAACATGATCTTGGTGATCACACAGAGCATCTCTACAAAAAGACCACACCTAGAGGCTAGGGAGATTCTTGGGCAATAAAGTACCAGCCGCACAAGTATAAGAACCTGAGTTTGCTCCCCAGCACCCACCTAAAAAAGCCAGGCACTGGTGACATGTGTTTGTAGTCCCCGCACTGAGGAGACAGAGACAGGCAGTTCCTTGGGGCTCACTGACCAAGTCAACCTAGCTGAATCATTGAGTCCATTGAATTATTGGATAAAAGTGAGAGAGACCATGTCTCAAACAAGGTGGGTGATATCCTGAGGAATGACACCTGAGGCTGAACTCTGGCCTCCACACGCATGCTCACACATGTGCACACACAAATATGCATAAGCATGCATACATATATGCACATACACACATGAAAGAACAAAACACACCTTTATATTACCTAACACCCAAAGAGGTTGTACGATGCTCCCCTGAGATACTCAGGGATTAGATAATCATGGTACTAGTATACACAGAAGGATCCAGATTCTTCTGGAAGGCTGCCAACACTGTACATCAACCAACACCAACCTTTGCCAAGGCCTTTGCAGGAACCCTGTGACAATACTCAGACCTTCAGAACTCTGGACCCTGAAGTTTGGGGACATCCCTCCTTGGGAGAGCCTCAGTCACTTACAGCAAGCTCTCTGTGCTGTTGACATTAAGAAGCACAGCCAGCATCACTGGCTCTGCAGAATCTTTCTCCCGAGTTCAATTTCCTCTGTCTGGCCTCTTCAATGATACCACTTCAGTTAACATGAAGCTGCAACGAGCTGAAGTCACAGACAGGATTCCTTTCGTGTGCCAAGCTGATGTATGGTGTATTGAACAGGTTTCCACAACCCCCTGAGCTGCCAATCTAGACCAGTCCTCAACATTGGCATGCAGTGAGTTCAAAGCAAGGAGAACAAAGGGAAAGCCATCATCTGATAGGCGTGTGTGT